GATGGTGTTCTTGGGGTCATAGGCAGCATTCCTCCTCCTCCAAACACGGCAAGTTGAGTTGATGCCAAAAAGCTCCATTTTGGTCTCATCTGACCACAACACTTTCACCCAGTTGTCCTCTGAATCATTAAGATGTTCATTGGCAAACTTCAGACGGACATGTATGTTCTTTCTTGAGCAGGGGGACCTTGCGGGCGCTGCAGGATTTCAGTCCTGCACGGTGTAGTGTGTTACCAATTGTTTTCTTGGTGACTATGGTCCCAGCTGCCTTGAGATCATTGACAAGATCCTCACGTGTAGTGCTGGGCTGATTCCTCACCGTTCTCATGATCATTGCAACTCCACGAGGTGAGGTCTTGTATGGAGCCCCAGGCCGAGGGAGATTGACAGTTCTTTTGTGTTTCTTCCATTTGCGAATAATCGCACCAACTGTTGTCACCTTCTCACAATGCTACTTGGCAATGGTCTTGTAGCCCATTCCAGCCTTATGTAGGTCTACAATCTTGTCCCTGGCATCCTTGGATAGCTCTTTGGTCTTGGCCATGGTGGAGAGTTTGGAATCTGATTGATTGATTGCTTCTGTGGACAGGTGTCTTTTATAAAGGTAACAAGCTGAGATTAGGTGCACTCCCTTTAAGAGTGTGCTCCTAATCTCAGCTCGTTACCTGTATTAAAGACACCTGGGAGCAAGAAATCTTTCTGATTGAGAGGGGGTCAAATACTTAATTTCCATACTCTTTGGTTCTATTGGGTAAAGTCACGTAGGTAAAAAATAAAATAACAAAAATCACGACGTTTCGGCCACAACACAAGCGGCCTTCATCAGGTGAAGGGACGAAACTGTCTGGAGGACAGCGCTGGAGTGAAAAAGCCACACTCAGATCACGACCTTTAAGCTGTGTGAGAAGAAACAAAGCGCCTTGACAAAGGAATTAGCATATAATTTATCATTGAAATGGCTCATTGAAATAGCTAAGTCAAATTATACACATCCGCAGAGGCACCCCTTGACAAAGGAATTAGCATAGAATTTAGCATTGAAATAGCTGAGTGATTAGCTTGTAACTGGTCACAGAAATAGCTATGTTAAAGTCAGAGCATATACATTCACCGAGGCACCTAGTACAAATAAAACAGGATAATTTAGCGAAACACAACCACGCTCAGACCGCGGACCTTTAAACTGTGTGCGAGCAAACAAGGTGTCCTGACAAAGAAATTAGCATAAAAATTAGCATTTGATTGGCCGATTTTAGAAAAGAGGTGGTGTACGTGCCGGTGGACTAGCCGTTTGGCGCGGGAGGGGGGGGGGGGTGAGGGGGAGTTTACCTAATGATGGTGTGAAAAGGGAATTTATAAGAGCTGCGAAAGTTTGGGGTACCACTACTTGAAAAATATACTGTACCATTGAAATTAGTTTAATGTTTAGTTCGATTTAGAACATCTTTCCAATGGTTGCTTAATTTCAAACTATCTTCTCGGTTGAAATTGTGTCTGTGTTTGTAGATCTGAATTGCCTCGTGAACAAATCTCTGATAAAAACCCGTGGGTTTGCAAAGAACCTTGGTATCCCTCATTAAAATGCAAATCAATTTATAACATTTTTGACATGCGATTTTCTGGATTGTTTTGTTGTTATTCTGTCTCTCACTGTTCAAATAAACCTACCATTAAAATGATAGACTGATCATTTATTTGTCAGTGGGCAAACGTACAACATCAGCAGGGGATCAAATACCTTATTCCCTCACTGTATATTTTTTATTTAAAGCCTTCGTGACTGTAGGGATTCATATTCTTGGTTCTTTCGGTAAAGTCACGTAGAAGGGAAACTATAAAATAATAAAAAATATATAAAACAATAAAATTCTCACGACGTTTCGACTACAACACAAGCAATCATCATCACGTGTGAAAACCACAGCAAGAAAATTTGAAAAAAGTGGCGGTTATTTTTAATGTTAGCACCACGGAGAGCGATTTGGCAGTTATTCAGGTAGACGAGTCCATCTATGTTCGGAAAAGAGGAGGGGGGAGACGAAAATAATGGATGCGGTCTGAAAGCCACCGTAAGCGTGAACAATGAATTAAGACCCGAAATGGTTAATCAAATCCTTCCAATGATTGCTAAGCCAGAATCCATCTTCTCGGTTGAAATTGTCTCTGTGTTTGTATATGTGGATAGCCTCATGAACGAATCTCTCATGATAGCCAGATGGCTTGCAAAGAACCTCTGTCTTGGAGAAGTCAATGTCATGTGAGTCTACTGAATTATAACAGTGATCTGCCACGGCCGAGGTGTTGGTCCTACCGTGTTTTAGGTCTGCTTTGTGTTTACAAATGCGGTCCGAGACATGTCGTTTGGTTTCTCCAATGTAACTACTACCACAAAGGCAACTTAGTTTGTAGACGCCAGGGTACTGTATGTCCGGAATCACATATTTTACAGACGGAACCAGATCACGGATTTTATGTAATGTGTTGAATCGGACCTAGATCTTGTGTTTATTCAAGATTTTGGAGATATTTTTTGTGATCCCCACAATGTAGGGTAAAGTGATGGTTTTGAATGGCTCCTCAAGAGGGTCCTTCTTCATGGTTGGAGTGATAGCTTTGCGGATTGTGTAGTCGGAGTAACCATTAGCCTTAAGAGCTTGGTGTACGTGCTTGAGTTCACTGGCTATGTGTTCCTGGTCGGATATGCATTGGGCTCTATGGTGCAGAGTCTTGATGAGGGAATTCTTCTGGGATGGATGGTGGTGGGAATCCGGTTTCAGGTAAGCATCTGTATGGGTAGCATTCCTGTAGACAGAGTGGCTCATTGAATCTTCAGGTCTCTTTTTTATTAGGACATCCAAAAAAGGTAGCTTGCCATCTTTTTCGACTTCCATGGTAAATCTTATGGCTGGGTGTATGGAATTGATGTGGTCGAAGAATTGTTCTAGAGCAGGCCGGCCATGTGGCCAGATGACAAAAGTGTCATCCACGTACCTCTTCCATAAGGTTGGGCGCAGAGTGGCAGTCTGGACGGTGTCAGTCTCAAATTTCTCCATGAAAATGTTCGCTACAACCGGAGATAGGGGGGAGCCCATCGGGGTGCCCTCAGTTTGTTTGTAGAAAGTTCCATTCCAAGTGAAGTATGTATTGGTTAAGCAGTGTCTCACCAGGGGGGGTACCTCAGTGTTTAGTCCTTGATGAACCAAGTCTTCAATGATTGCGATGGTGTCAGGTACAGAAACTTTGGTGAATAAGGAAACTACATCAAAACTGACGAGCAGGTCGTCTGGGGACAGGGAAATACCCGTGATTGTCGATACCAGGTGAGTAGAATTTTGTACCGCAGAGGTGGTTTTTCCAGTGAAAGGTCACAGTATTTCAGACAGAAAACGAGCCAGTTTGTAGGTGGGGGAGTTGATAGTAGAGACGATGGGACGAAGGGGTGTATCTACTTTATGTATTTTTGGTAAGCCGTATAATCTTGGTGACCTGGCAGCAGAAGGTTTCAAAGAGAACTGTTTGGTTTGATCAATTAATGCGGTTGAATCAGAAATGATTTTGTTCGTTTGTATGACGAGACTGTTGGTGGGATCTCTTATTATTTTTGTATAGCTGCCATCGTTGAGTAATTCTTGAATTTTGTTGTTATATTCTATTTTATCCATGATGACAGTGGCATTGCCCTTGTCGGCTGAGAGGATGACAATGTCATCCCTCTTTTTAATTTATATAATTGCCAAATCGCTGTCCGTGGTGCTAACGTAAAAAAAAAACCGCCACTTTTTTCAAATTTTCTTGCTGTGGTTTTCACACCTGATGATGATTGCTTGTGTTGCAGTCGAAACGTCGTGAGAATCTTATTGTTTTATATTTGTATTATTTTATTGTTTCCCTTCTACGTGACTTTACCGAAAGAACCAAGAATGTGAATCCCTGCATTCACGAAAGCTTTAAAGAAAAAAAAAACTGTATGACTTCCAATGCAAACATTTTGAAAACGTATATCGCGGTCGTTTTCAAGGTTGGGCCCTAACTCGTAGTTTTGGCCACCAGGGTGGGGGGCAAGGCACCCCCTGCCCCCACACTCGTCACGCCACTGAAAATGTGTGGAACTATCTTCTATCTGCGGTCAGAACATCCTGGATAAAGTAACACGTTGTATGTCAAATGGATCGCAGGATAGGAGAATGTGTGGCTTTTATTCCACACCTGTTGTTATTATAACAAGGCAGTTTATATGTAACTTGACTCCCAGTGCGGCCACGTATTTAAGCACCACGCTTATTTTTTTGCTATGCAGCAATATTTTGTATTTGTGACATTCGAATTAACATGTGTCCACTATTCTTAACAGCAATGTATATATTCACGGGCCGTATGAATGTTTTCGCACGGCTGATGTGCATTATGACAAATTAGCAGCAATGCTGCAACCCATTCAACAAATACAAAACCGTGGTTCTTTGGGCAATGGGCAGAATACACTAGCGAATAGAACGTACTGTATAAAAAAATAAAGCCGCATTCGAATTGTCACAAGAAATAACCCGCATATAAAGCTTTTCCAGGATAACACAAAACAATGCTTTGAATGATGGCAGAGCAATGAGCACTGACACCCACAACACATTGTGTTTTAATCAAACTTGTGCGGCAGAAGAATGGAAGTACTGTATATCAAATGTATGTGGCATAGTAATTTAGCATTTAAGCGACATTACACGTGCGTGAATGTACGTTTTTCAGCAACACTTAAGAAAGTGCCAATTGGTAGTTCCCTGTATTTTTTCAGCCCTCCATTCTATGACAAATGAACTAGGTGTTGAATTTCGCCAATGGGTGGAAAAAAAATATATTACCGCCCAACCTTTCAAACACAACATTTGTTTAGGTGTCCGATGCTTCCGCCTCTCCCCACCCCCAACACAATCCGACTCCAGTGCTGCCCACCAATCAAACGTGCACCCCCCCCCGTTACCCATCCACGTGCTCACGCAGGTGAGAGAAGCTGTTAGCCTTGTTCGTACACGTGCTTGCGATCATCGCCACGAGGCTGGGTCAAGCGAAGCTTGCTCGGGCATGCAGCCCATCTGGTTGTTTTTTTTTTGGACAAGGAAAGATTCGAGCCCGGGCAGGCGGCGTGGCTTCCCCCACCACGCAAGCGTGACTCACTCAAGCCCAAGACACCCCAAGCACAGCAACAGTCTGTGTGATAGCCCAGCCCAGCGAGGGAGGCATAGCCCAACCCAGCAAGGGGGGGGCATAGCCAAGCCCGTAAGATCCACAACAGAACACAGCCAAAACACAGCCAAAACACAAAGAGGCAGACAGCAGCTGTGTGTTTTGCTCATCTGTGTCGACGGCGGAGCGGCGGTGCTGCGGTGAAGCTTCGGCAAGTTCCTCCAGTGGAGACTAGAGGTAAGTTTGGCCTCATCTCATGAGTTTGTTACTCGCTCGGTCTCAACTCCTTTGTCGTTTTATAGTGCTTACTTTCCAAGGAACTTTTTTTTTGTATATGCGACCTCTTTCACACAAGTGTCAGCTATGCGCGGAGTTCAAGTGAATCCATTGCCATAGTGCTGGGTTGCATCAGCTGTGCATGGTCACCCTAAACACATTGGTGCATAGCAGTGTAGATTATTGAAATTGTAATTTGGAGGGACACATGCGATAAAAAACGCAAGCGATTATATACGTCTAGTTATTGAAGGTTGACTGGAACCACAATTATGAAATACGTAACGAGGTGGACGAGAGCACCAGAACTTTGGATGTGTCAGAAAAAAAAGGTTTAACTCTGTGTGTGTGTATATATATTAGCCATTATGACATAGAAACTTGACATTGAAAGGCGGAAAAAAGTTTGGAAAGAATCACGGAGATGGGTATATTTGGAACTTCAGGATCAGAACGTTTATACTGGAGGAATCCGATGAGCTATAAAGCTCTCTTTCAACAGACGCGAGAAGCGATAAGAGGTACATGTGGTGAGAGAATAAAGCCAACAAAGCCAAGTTAGAGACATTGTTAAGAGAGGTGGATTCTAGATTTAAAGCTTTCGTGACTGCAAGGATCCATACTCTTTGGTTCGGTAAAGTCACGTGACTTTACCGAACCAAAGAGTAAAGAGAGGTGGACGCTTTGTGGCCGAGACTGAATGTGTTTGCAGCCATGGGGAAGAAGATGCCTTTACGAGAGAGATGAGACTGGTGATATTAGCTTGCGTGTAGGAGCTAGGTGTATGGCTAGATTGCAATAGATAGCGACGGCTTGGTGAGGCAATTATTCATCAGTGGATAGATCCTGGCCGAGATAATCGGTCTACATTGCACGTTTAAACGCTGCTGTACCGTGTGGCTTGCACTAAACCGACGTGAAGGGCTTAAGGCCCTCCGTCCTAGAGTAACGCAGTCCAGATGGCCGTTGTTTACCTATGGAACACACACAAAGTATAAAAAACTTGTCTACTGTGAAAGCAACTTCATGACTTTTGACACTTTGCATTGTCCGCGAGATCCATCATTGTTGTCACTCGGTTCTGACAAATTATATTTTTTCGCCAATAAATGTCACCCCTCTTATAAGCCCTTCAATGTGAAGACGTCCACGCGAAACCTTTACATTCTTGAAATTATCACGCCGCTGCCGCAGGTCACGTGCACAAACACATGGACTTCTATTGTCGCCACGGCCAATCAGAACGCAGCCGTTCACCCGTCAGCGTCCATATGGCCACCGCAATCTTGCAGTCGTCATTCGAAGCCCATTAAATATTTAAATCCATAACCAAACACCACTGTCAATGAACTGGACTCTCCTTACGGCCTCGTTGGAGGCCTTCCATTTAGTACGTACGCATGGAGTGGGGGGGGGGGTTAACCCAAATGCGTACGCTTGCGTACGGGGGGTCTACTGACAATGTGTGTACGCATAGGAAACGGGGGGGGGAGGGGGGGGGTGAAGCCTCGAAAATAATTTGTGGACATTGGCCTTCAAATGACTTAGATAGTCCGGCGGTGGACTATCTGTTTGCTTAAACACGTCAATATTATTCATCCTTGATCGTTTCGGCGTGGATTAAATATCGGCCGTTCTATAGGATTCGGGGGGAGGGGGGGGGGGTTCGTCAGGCGTACGTACGCAGGTGGGGGGGGGGGTGTAAAAAGTCCGCGTGCGTACAGGAAGTGGGGAGAGAGGTCAAGTTTTGACAGATTTTTGCATACCTACTAAATGTATGGCCTCGTTGGTGGGTGTGGGTTGCCGAGGAAACGTCGGTCTTGCGAGCAACTTGCAGAGGAAACATCTGTCAACGCCGGCTACAGTGGCCGAGCAAATCTGGTACAATAACTCGTTCTTATTCTTGTCTGCCCCCCCTCCTCCACTCGCACCACACCCAGAGGAAGAGGGGGATCGTGTTGTCACGCTGCCCATCTGTCTCTGCATCGTTCCGTGGTTCTGCCGTTGTTTGCATTTCCCCAAAGACGGCAATGTCTGTTAGAAATTATACTCGCGACGCTGTGTCGTGAGATAAACGTATTTAGATTTGGAATTCTACACATAGCAGTGCATCACCCTGTGGAAGCTACTCGCTTAAGAGCAGCATCTTTTGTCACTTCAATAGGTTTCTTTCTGCACACGAGGACAGATGTTAATGTCCTGAAGGTATAGTTTGTTCCATGGTAGTCAAGGTTGTAGTTGTTTGTGTGATCATTAATTACCATACTGAGACCATCAACTGGCTATACTTTTGAGAACCAACTTTAATCGTGAGTGGCTGTGTGGATTCGATCCCTGGTTCTCTAACCTCAGTGCCACCAATGCCACCTGTGCTATAGACAACTTCCATTGACACAACCTAATTGTAATAATAGAACCAATGAATGAACACACTATGCAAATGATACAATTGCACAGGCTTGTTAGTTAACAACTGGCCAATTATTTTAACAAATGAAGCAATTGGCGGGACCCCGGGGTCCCATCACTGCCCCGGGGCGGGAACAACCGCGTAGCGACACGAGTCTTGCCTTACCGACAACAACAAAACTAGTGGTCAATCGATTGGCCTCGTCGAGAGCTACTAAGTTTCGTAAAAAGTTTCGTAAAAAGTTTAAAAATTACATAAACACGTTAAATTCACTGCCTGGGGGCGGGGCTCGCCTTGGCAAAGAAGCTGAGGATCGACGGCTGACCGGAGGGCGTTGTCGCCGCGCGCGACTGCGGCGGACGCCCCCCGGGGCTTGCGTTTGGCCGGTGGGGTGGCACCCATCGTGTCGATCGCCGCCTGTTGCTGGCGCTTGCTGGCGCGAGTCTGGGCGGGCAGCGCGTTGCTGTCGGGGTCACGAGTGGGCGGACTGAAATAATAATTATTATTGACCTGATTTTTGCGGGACCCCGGGGTCCCGCCAAATGATTCAAATATCCGTGACTGTCTAGAACGGAAACTAGAATTCCCCTTGAGAGAAAGTTTCATGGATAAACGTTTAACAATCAGTAAGCAGCAAATGTGTTAAACAAAAATTGTAAACATTTCCACTGTTTTCTGATCATCACAATTTCACAACATACATATTTCTAAAATGTCCACATATTCTCAGTTTGACAACATTCAGATGTGTCAAAGAGTCGGGAAACTACTCCGTCATGTCAGGAGACAAAACAAAATAATTGGCAGACAATATCATAACATCCTGTCATAGCTAAACCTCTTTTCTCGCTCCCCATATTGCATCTTCTATATTTGGTCAGAAGAGCTGACATGCTGAAGTGGAGTTTTGCTTAAACAAACTCAGCATTTATAACATTTGTAAGATTGATCATAGTTGATGCTGCATTGGCAGCGGTGCACAAGAACAATTCATTTTGTGCACAGGCTTTCATGACCAATATAATTAATCATTAGTTTATTTTGGGTTAAATCATTGTGTAGATATAATGCCAGTTTTTTTTTTACTATAAATTGACATACGTGCACGGTCTAACCCGAAAGAAACGAATTATGATTTGCAGGCACAATTAAAAAAAAAACTCAACACAGCCGTCAACCACTGCCTTAAAAGGAAAAAATATATATATAATCAGCACATTTTGTGCGATCAAGGCCCGTTGCCCGAAACGTCGCCATTTTTTATTGTAAGGCAAAGTTGAGTGAGTTTCTAAAAAAAAAATTCAGTTCGCTTTCATTTTGGCACAATTAAAATGCATTGGCGTCCCTGCTTTACATAATTGGCATTGTTAAATGACTTAAGTGCTTACATTATTTTTCTATGAAAGTTGTGATGGAGTTTAAAATGATTGGCTTCATAAAATGAAAGCGTGCAACCAACTTCTGCATGCAACTTTAGTGAAAATGGTAATCGTATACTTTCTCATCGTGTGTCTCATGCATGCAACATTTATCCGTAAATGTACAGTTTTGCAGAAGCTTGTGGGAAAACTCTCAGTGGCAAAACGCAAAAATACAATCGTGTACAGTGTATAAAACAGGTGACATCCCAATAAACCATCCTTCATAACAGAAATCATATACATGATTCATTTATATTTGTAAGGCAGTGTTATCGACAAATGTGTTGCGTTTTACGTTTTTGTGCTTGTGCACCGCGTCCAACGTTATGTCACCGATACAAAAATATGAGAAACACATTTTAGTGTATGCAATTCGAATGAGAAAAGACTTAAAACTTAGCAAGGTCTGTGTTTACCAGTCCGCCAATGTACACGGTGGTCCAGATGTCTTGTGACACCCATTTCATTCTCGAAAACGTATATATTTTTAAAGTAAAGTTTATTTCAAACAGAGACGAATATACAAATGGAAATGTTTTAATTAATTGGGGGTCACAAGACATCTGGACCACGCTGGACATTACAGACTGGTGTGCAGAACGCTTGCCAAGCGTTATGGATGTCAACTACAATGAGCAATCTTGTTGCAGTGTCAATGAGTGTACAGCAGAGGGCAGACAATCATGAACAACCTTTGTTTAACAGTCCGAAGCAGTGAGCGTATTGCTAAGCACTGAATAGGGGTTGTTTGTTACGCAATAGCGACTGTTATTAGTGTGACTATTCAAGCGCCAATTTAAAAACAGGTTATCATGAAATGTTTTCAAATGTTATTCGTCTTCTTTGGTTCTTTCGGTAAAGTCACGTAGAATGAGCTGTGTGAGAAGAAACAAAGCGCCTTAGAGTCGCGGCATCTCTTCAGAAAGGTGAGAGACTCGATTAGTTGAGCCTTCTTATCCCGGAGTCTGTTGAATGATCTTAAGGTCAACAGACTCCGGGATAAGAAGGCTCAACTAATCGAGTCTCTCACCTTTCTGAAGAGATGCCGCGACTCTAAGCTTAAAGGTCGTGATCTGAGCGTGGCTTTTTCACTCCAGCGCTGTCCTCCAGACAGTCTCGTCCCTTCACCTGATGAAGGCCGCTTGTGTTGTGGCCGAAACGTCGTGAGAATTTTATTGTGTTATTTTATTTTATCAATTTATTATTTTATTCTCATTCTACGTGACTTTACCGAAAGAACCAAAGAAGATTAATCCTTGCAGTCACGGAAGCTTTAATTCGAAATGTTATTCGTATCACTCACCATGATGAAAACAAGTGCAGACTCCTATTAGTATTATTCACTCATCTCTCATAGTATCCATGTGCTATGAATAAGGGCCATTGGCTAAACGTTGCCTATTTTATATGTTTTCATTCAATACCACAGTCGTATTGAGGAATGTTGAGTTTTTATGTTACTCCTGCTTGTGCACCACCACAAAAGCAGCAGCATCGCACCTCCGATTAGCACTGTTGGCTATGAACGGCGCAAAAGAAATTCAACATGCATACATATATATACGATTTGTATTCTTAAATGTGGATTTTCTGGAATGCTAAAGAGACAAGAGACCGCACGTGGCCTTTATTTGTTTTCATGCCAATGTCAATAATAGCTCGTTTAATTTGCTGCATCGATGTCCCATTGCCAAGCCATTCCAAGCATCACTGCTTGCCTGTGCATGCCCAGTTATGGGTGTCTTTAAAAAAAATAAGTGAAATAATATACGATTGTTTCGAGACGGCTAATCATCAGCGACTTTGCATAAGTGATTTCCACCCACATGTATTAATTGGGCAATAATATTTTAATATATAGTGGACCGCAGAGATTGGGCAATTGTTGGCACCGGCTCACCATCTGTCTGCCTTTTCCATTTGTCTGTGGTTCCTCGCACCTCTGAGTCATTCTCTGTCTCTCTTCGAGAGTGAGCGAGTAATGTGTCCTTTACGAGCTGAAAATTGTGCTTTAAAAATAAACGGGCACCAATTCATCAAGCAGCCAACAACCCCCGCAGTTTTCTGACAACGCGTGTTGCTTTTACGTAGTTTCTGACGGCGAGCAAGATGGTGCCGGGTTTCGTATTTGCCTTCCCGGTCATCTTCATCGTCATCGCCATCATCGTGGCGTTCATCCTGTGCTGCGTGTGCCCCTGCTGCCCCATCTACAAGCGTCTTCAGCCATCCACGCAGGACTACGCGGCAGGTGAGGCTGGCACAAGGGAGCTGTGGTCTATTGGACCGTCCATACATGACGTCACGCACCTAGGGGGGGGGTGGGTGGGTCAGAGTTTTGTTTGAGAAATGTGACGTCACATCAAAATGTGCAACTTTTAATAAATATATAATTGCTATAACAACGCTAATTGTTATAACAACACTCCTACAACATCAGAGTGCAGCGCCACATGAAATACGCCCTACAATGACAATAGTTTAAAGTGATTTGAAGCATTTTTTTTTCTAAATGGAAATATGGTTTGGGGGGGGGGGCAGAGCTTTGTGATGTCATATTTGAGGGGGGGGGTCTGACTTTTTGTGACGCCGTGTGACGAGTGGGGGGGGGTCAAAAATCGTCAAAAGTCGCGTGACGTCATTTATGGACGGCTCCTATCGGCAGTGGCCGTGTTGGCCCACTGGGTGGCGAAGGCAGTAATTATATTAAATTAAACTATTAACCATTTTTTATTTTGCCAGTTAAGGCCCACTGAACTATATAGATCGTTTTCAGAAGTATAATTTGTGACCTGGCCACAAATGATACCTCAACGGAGTGGCTTACGTGGAAATTTATATCAGCCAAATACTCTTAAACGCATGTTTCTAATTGTGGTGGGAAAACCTGGAGGACCCAGACAAAAATCCACACGACCCACCCTCCCACCCCCCCACCCTCCCACCCCCCACCCCCCACCCCCCCCCCCCCCCCACCCCCACCCCCCACCCCACCCTTTCAATTAATAAACTCCGAGTGAAATGACAGTAACAATGATGCAGGACAAAATAATACCAACATTGGCACCGCACTGTCATGTAGAAGGGAAAGTAGAGTTTGACAAGAACAAAAAACACACGCTTGGCAACAACACTGCTTTACAAGAAAAAAATATATACAATTGGTGACATTTTTGGCAATGGACTTTATTCATAGTAACATGGGCTTCCTCGGTAGCACATTTGATGTGCTCTAAAGAAGGACCGTTACCAGAAACGTCACCAACTGTATATCATTTCTGGCCCATTGGGTGACAGTGTTGGTGATGAGTGCGAGTGCTTTTTGTTAGCTGTGCGTGTGCGCCACAGCCAATGCGGTGCCATCAAATCATCTGTTCGGAGTAGAATGTGACCGTGAAATTAATTGGGATGGACAACATTAAAGAGGGTGCTCGGACAGAAAATTGCGGCACTTCGTGAAGCGACTGCCGAGACCGCAGAGAGAGCGGAGATTAAGTTTTATTTGGCCTCTTGGTCGACCCCCTGCGGACGGCCGACGGACGAGAAGAAGAGAGATGACAGGAAAACGACGGACAGGAGAAAGGGATGTTGCAAGATGAGAGAAATGTGGACAAAAGATAGAGATGTAAATGAGATTAGATTAGCGATGCAAAGATGCGGTAAATACAAAGCGAAATGACAGATGTAGGCAATGCATGTATGTACGTTGAACTTATTTCGCGGACTGTATGCAGCCAACCGTGCTCGTTGGGGGAACAGGGGAAGGACAACAAACTAAACACAAAAGCAGTTCCAAAGAAATTAGTTTTCAATGAGATGTAGTGATACAAGAGCAGCAAATAAGACGTAGACGAGACAGATTAATTGACTGTTAACCGCCTTTTTATATTTATGAGTATCTGAATTCGAGCTGATATTTGGTGTGTTCCTCTTTTCGACTCGCGATCGCTGGGCCCCTTGAGCTGCTTTTGACCCCGAGCCTTTGCTTAGTGTGCTTATGCACGGCCACTACTGGTTGTCTGGCAATTTGTTGCCATGTCCACGCGCCATGCAAGGTGGAGGAGGGGGGGGGCACTATTTATTGAGAGGGGTGGACGATGGGAAATGTGCCGGGGTAAAGGAGGGGCACGTTTAGGCCTCGTTAAACAGTCGGGAGACTGGCACTTCTTAATTTAGGCACCGGTCCAAGCTTCATTAAACCCCGTGTGTGTGTGCGCTTGCAAGGTTGCTCGTTTTAATTAAAGAGTCATATGAGAGCATTTGCTTCCAAGCCCTCAGTTAACAATGATGTGAGCTGTACTCCCTTTGCTCTTGTATTGAGAAGAACTTGGCTACAACTATATTGTATGCATGTTTCCCACTTTGCCTCTTCATGAGTATAGCCGCTTGTATTATGTTGAACTTCTTTCACACTCTACGTAGCCAACCGTACTCATCGGAGGTGATTGTAAATTGGCAGTACAAACTCTTCAAACGTAGGGCATGAAATTAACACAATATAAAGTGTAATTTCCAACTCTTTGTCATCTTTCTGCCATCTCTGTTCTGAACAAGAGCTATTGCCTGAAACATCAGTTTTCTATTTTTGTGTTATAAGTTAGTTTTAACGATGAATATGGTAGTTATATATTCCGTATACATATATTAATACATGTTTGTGCCTCCACTAAATATATATTGTCTAATAGAGGGATATCAATAGACCTCCTTTGCCAGTACCAAAATGTAATAATAAGGTTTTTCCCCTTTTTTCTGGCAACGAAACTGAAACCTTTTTTTAGAAGAAAGCCGTCCCTTGGTCTAGACCAGTCAGCTTCAAGGACAATGCATATATTATCATAGTATGTTTTTTGTTTGCATTTTGACTGCAGGTATTGTGGTTAATGCGGACATGAATCCTTAAAAAAGGTTTCAGTTTTGTTGCCAGAAAAAGGGGAAAAACCCTATTATTATTATTATAATAGAGGGATACTTTCTCCTTCATGGTATTGGAACCAGTATTGCTCTGATCTTAAATTGGTACTCGGAAGCCTGCTTAAATGACGACAAGTAGATATCCCATCGTAAAAAAAATTTACCCTGTGCAGCCGTTTGCAATAACCCTCGCTCAATCAGTCCTGAGGGTAAGGGGAAATAAAACTGCCACGAAAAGTTCACACTTGCAAGCTGCTGATCTGACTCGACTGCGATGTGAGGGGACGACATGGGGCGAGAGTGTGAGGGACACACGCGCACGTGTACCGTTGGGTACAGGGAACGGCCCGTCTCGGAAAATGTACAGAAGAGAACAGATTGATTGTGCGCAGCAAAAAAAAAACACAGGCACATCCCGCCAGTCACACTTGTCTGGGAACAGGGCCAAGAGCTGAGACAGAGATAGGGGTGGGGGCGGGGGTAGTAGAAATGGCTTCACGAAGTTTGCGCAGCATGCTGACATTGTAAGAAGCGGTGTAAATAAACCAGAACTCTACTGAACAAATAGGTTTCTGGGACAAAATGGGGAGTAATGGGGTTTGTTAGTCAGAGTAACTCGTAAGTTGTCTCATGTCAGGCGCACAGCTTTTTACGAAAACATATTTTGCCAAATAAAACACCCACTGACATTTTTCAGGATTAAGATTTTTTTTTTTCAGAACATATTTCTTTGCAAGGTAGCTGCCGTCAAGCTATACCATCTTTCTTTATACACATTCTTACTGCATGCATCAAACGGACAAATGCGTGCGCCGTCGACAAAACGATGATCTTATTCTTTATCTACCACCGCACCTGCTTTAGTTTTCAACGCTTGAGCGGTGCATTTGTCACAGCTGCACCTCGTTCCACCGTGGAGGGATTCTGGGTGGGGTGCACAGCCAAGGAAGGCGCAGTGCATTCATTCCTCAGCCGAACACATGCGTGCGGCAGGCTTTGATAAAGGATGCGCTTAACCGGAGGTGTAGTGGATGCTGTGCCTTGGCGTAACGGTTCGCCGACTGGACTTGCGATGCACAGGTTGATCTCCCGACGCGACAGTTGAAACAACGGCGCAGCTTTTATTTAAATGCGCTGCACCTAAATCTTGACTTAAAGCTTTCGTGACCGCAGGAATTCATGTACTTTGGGTCTACAACGTTTCGATCGCAACGCAAGCGGTCGTCTTTTCCTGATGATGACCGCTTGCGCTTGCGTTGCCATCGAAACGTCGTAGTTTTTTTGTTGTTGTTATTTTCTTTGAACCTATCTACGTGACTTTACCGAAAGACCCAAAGAATATACCCCCCCACCTCTTTCGACGCAGCGATGTAAATGGGGCTTACTGCAGTCAATCGGTCCGGACGGCAGGTCCGCGTGTGGTGGAGTAAAGAGTGGATACTCCCATCTCTTCTGGCCAGCATGGAAGAGTAGGTCACGGCACCCTCGAGAGGAGCACTCCACAGATCCATCTCGTGGAGGGGTCTTTACCTATGACTAGCAAGTGCGACAATGCATAAATTCATCAATTAATGCCGATTATTAATACCATGATACGTGCACATCCGATGCCGGTGTGTAAGAATCAACGTTTGTAGGCTTCGAATACGCCGTGCGTAGTGGAGTCACGAAGCCACCTGCAAGTTCTAATGCCCGATGATGCTGGATGTAATTACCAGCGAAACGTCGTACTACTCAAACTGTAAATGTTGTGGATTCACTCTTCAACACACCGGTGGGCTAAAGTAGTGAACTATTTGTCTTTTGTCAACGTGACACTTTTTTTTTGCTGATTGGCCGTGTCGGGTGGTGGAAGGTTACGACACATTTATAAGTAACGCGATCTAACCCAAAAACCTTTATTATGAATAATATTGGTCGCGAAAGCCTACGTGTTAAACTAATTAAACATATTTTAAAATCTAACAAATCGGTTCTCATGCGAACATTAATCACCATGATTCATGGCATTGGTGGGGTTGGGGTGAATAATCGTTACACTCCAGGCGGCTCTTGTGACTGCAGACATCGTAAGAGACAATTGTTATCACAGCATGATGGAGAACCTCTATTTTTGGGGATTTAAACTCTACATTCCCCATTAGCCAGGGGAGAGAAAAGAGGATTGTTTTGTGTTGGTATTCATGAAGAAGCAAACAGGAGCAGGAATCCCTGTTTAACTCTTTCTGAATAGTTTGCCAAAGTCAAATATTGCTGTGAGGGAGCTATTGTTGTGGGGAGGAAACATTGGCTTTACTTTGCGTTCAAAGCAGCCTCTTATACGGTGGCGATCTGGCC